CGGATTATATAGTGGTATTTAGATTATATAATCTAACCTAAGTGGGATACCACCTATAATATAATTATATTATAGGTAGTATCCCACTTCAAGATTTGGCTGCAATAGATTATCATCTGTCATGTAAATATATTATTGCAATTGAACAGAATAACTTAACTCAAAAGATAACTCAAAATGTTCTAATTAAGCTTGTTGATATGAATGAATAGATAGTTTAGAAATTATTGAAGAATCTAATACTGATAATAATAATATAGACGTTAATAAAGTTTTAAATTCAATAAGTACTGGTAAGCAACATGACTGTAAAGGAATACTTAAATACTTAATTCCTTTCTTAGTACATGAAAATATATTATTGACTCATGATCCAGTAATACATTTACGAATTTCCGGTGATGGTCGTAATGTAGGTCGAAAAGTCAAACATGTGATGATTACTCTTATGATTCTTAATGATCAAAAGCACCACCACGTACCTAGTTATCACTATACTATTGCATTATATCCAGGAATTAAAAAATACGAATTTCTTGAAGTTATATTAAGTTCGTTTTTCAACGATTTTAAAAACTTTAAAACTAATGGATTGGAAGTTAATGGTATATTTTGGCAGTTCGAGTTATACTTTAGTAGTGATTGGAAATTTCTTGCAATCTGCCTTGGATTAAATGCTGCGAATTCTAATTATTTTTGTGCCTGGTGTCTCTGCTCCAAACAAGAAATCAGTGACGCAACTCAGGACTAGAAAATTACCAAATCAATGGATAATTTAAAAAATAACTATTATAATATACCTGGTCATATCAAAACACTGTTGTTTAATATGATTTCTTTATTTAATTATGTATTTGATGAGTTGCATGTATTATTATGGGTTGAGGATAAGCTCTAGTCTTTAATGCTATCAGAAATTAAAGAAAGAGATTTATTTAATGATATTAGCTATAAAATTATTATAGATGAAATAAAATGGCTTAATATTAAGTTTCATTTTTGGCAAAAATCTACTACATGGAAAAACACATCGTTAAATAGAGATGATAAAATTAAAGTACTGCAACATTTTAATTTAGCTACACTTTTTTGTCCAAGTAGAGCTAAATTAATTTGATTTCTGTAGAATAAATTTGTCGAATTATATAAGGCGATATATAATCAAGATAGTAATCCTTTATATTTAAAACATATAGTGCTTGAATGGTTTAAACTTTTTTTAAAACCCAAGGAAAAAGATCTGAATAATCTACAAAATAGCATTAAAGGCCTTTATTTACCAATCGATATAACTCCCTATATTCCTTTTTTAGTATTTCATAGATAGGAGTTACATCAAAACCATAAATAATGAAGGTTAAAAGCATTTTCTTGTAGTGTAGTAGAAAAAAAAAATTATATGTATGTGTCTTTCTTTTTTCGAAAAACTACTATGAATAGTGGAAATTCTTTCAAAAGAAGTGCAGCTACAATTGAAATTTTAGAATGTAAATTACGAAACTTTTTTTTTTCTTATAACAACCTTTTTAGACAAAAAGTCAAAAAACTTCGTATTAGCAGTTAGATAATATAGAGATAAATTTATGTAATATAATTATATAATAATTACCGTTATTGAATCATATAAGAACAATAATAAAAGAGGTGTGGTGGCTTAGTAAAGTGGTCTAGTTGTCACCCTCTCCAAGTAGCAGGTCTAGAGTTCGAATCCCATAGATGACAATTTTGAAAAATAGGCCTGTGTTATAGTAATCTGTATAAGATGGTTGGATCTTAAATTGAGAATCTGTAATTTGAGTTGTACTAGAGAGTGATTCTAAAAGATCTGCTAGCATTTGTACAACTGGGGAAGAACCCTGGGAACTACAAAGGAATGCAAACTATTTTCGGGCAGTGCAAATACTTGATAAGTCCATGATCATGTAAATCTGGAGAACTGTTCATCACCGTACAGAAAGCCCATTTGGGAAGACCTGAGTTTGGAGGTAGCAGTAATCTTTGATGGTACTACATGACGGCTAAATTCAAACCAGGGCCGAGATTGGAGAACTGAGCGACCAGGTCCTTTAGTGAAGGGACACACTAGCCGAACTGCCGGTTTAGACGCACTAGAGAAAAAGGTCATATGCTCTGAAAGTATGGACCAAGGGAAGGGCATCCTTCAAGCACTTAAAGCCTGGACAGACCAACCCGTCCAAGTTGCCGGCTGGAAGTAAGAGAGGGACTGATTAAGAATCCGGGTAAGAAGACGGTTGGATTGGGGTACTGGGGTTGTTGTAAACCATACAAGGGCAGAGTACATAATGGAAGACTAATTAAAAAGGTTGTGTTTGAGATACGGATTGTATTACGGCAGCACCCCAAAAGGTGACTTGAGATAAGAACACAATGGCGGCAGACAATATATACTAATTGGGAAGAAATTATCGAACATGCAGGTGAATACACGTGTGGAACATAGACCACTCCGTTAGGTTTACCTCATGGATAAGATTAGCCTCATTGGGATTAAAAAAGTTCTAAGATAGGTGCAAAATCAGATTGGGCAATAGCGAACTACCTATGTATAGTAAGCTACGTTTCAGGTTAGATAATATTTATTGGTTTGGAAGTAGGTTATAGTCAGAGAGTTTAAATGGGTACCCTCCTAGTTGGAGTACAGGTATGGCAGATAGTGTAGAACCTTCGGGCAGACTACGTAAATTAGGCACTCAAAAGGTGCATGTGTGGCTTGATATACCATCGTTGTAATTGTGTATAAAACACCATTTCAAATCCTAATAAAAGCTTTCAGGCTAAAGAGGTCTCCTTAACTCAAAAAAAAAAAAAAAACTAACTATCTGAGGAGTAAGTTTATATGTTTTATGACGAAGGCTAAGGTTTTCCGCAAATTTATTGTAGCCAATTGCTTGGTATGTGTTTTGGAGGTAAAGATATAGACGAGCCAGATTTAGGCAGAATTGGAGGCGATTTTCGGGTTTGTAAGGGGGATGGTTGCTGGAGAGGCGAAAATTTCAGGATAGTTAAGTTTAGTAAAAAGGATTGAGGTAAATTTAGTTAAAATTTTTTTTAAAATATCTTCTAATATGTTAAAGGGAATGGTTGCTTGCTTGTTGATTGAAGGGTTAATTTGAAAGATATAGTTGGTAAGAAAGTCTGGTCTTTCTCCTGCCATACAACAAATGATGTAGTAGAAGCTTGCTTTGAGAGGTTGTTTTTTTGGTGTTGCTGCTTTAAGTATAGAGCCTAGGTAGAAGTTGTGAAGATGTTTTTTAAGTAGATCATATAAGTGTTAAGAAAAGGAAGGTTGTAGTTTGGTGTTAGGTTTTATATCTTCTGTGATTGGGAAGTTGGAGAACCAGTCGAAGTTGGGCTAGGTTTGACTTGTTTGGTTTGGTTTTTGTCCGAGAGGGTAGTAGTAGTATTGGTTGAGGTTTTTTGTACCATTGACGAGTAGGTTTTATGAGTGGTGTTCTTGTTGGATTGGGTGGTTTCTGAGAGTAAATTTTCAGTAGTTGGAATTTTGTAGAGAGAAGAGATGTTATTATTAACTTCGGTGTTGAGTGATGAATTTTGAAGAATATCACTGTCGATTTCCATAAAGGTAGAGATAGAGATTGATTGGATTGTCATTTTTGTCTATAGTTGTAGTAGTAAGAGGTTTAAGAGTTTGAGAAAGTGGGTTTATGGTTGATTGTTTAGAGGATTGTGTATGTTTTGGTTTGTCATCTAAGGCTTGTTGGAAAAGAGGAGTTAGATCTTTCCTGGTTGAG